TACTGTACTATCCCCTCCGTGCCCGGACAGGGGTGTAGATTAGATCAATTAGCGCTGTCGATCCCGATAAGGATCCAAAAATGTCAACAAATGTCCGTTTTCGACTAATTGAGGCTATTCTATCTAGCAATTGACTCCAATTGAGTGGTGATATCGTTGCCAACAGCTTCCTTCAACACAGAGCCAAATTTGGCACTTACTGCACATATAGCGCGTTCGTGAGCCACCTAAAATAGCGTCACTGGCGCTATTTACAGCTGATTCTGTAATATCTGTTCCGAATTTGCGTTTGGGTGCTCTTTTACGTGGGCAGCCTGGTGGATGGAATCTTCCCCATTCGCACCGACCGAGATGCTCTTGTTGTACGTGTTTATGGTGACGTTGAAGCACTGTTGTGGGTACAAATTGGGATCGTTCCTGTTGCTCCTCTGCTTGCTCATTTTCGATTAGATCATTCGAATGAAGTAATTGATTGCATAGAGCGCTCATAAACACCCTATGGCTATCATGACTCTCGTCGTTCGTGCTCCATTTCCATAGCAAATAAGCATTCGCGTAAGCAACATCAATAAGAAAGAAAAACAAGGGCTACCAAGTTCGATAATTCTGCTTTCTATAGCACGTAAAGCCTGCGCGTAGTTGATTGGCCTGGTCCACGCCCTTCATATAGTGGTTGTACTCATTAATAGCCGTTGGAATAAAGAGCTTTTTGAACGGTTGACCGTCAAAAACAGGCAGTAGAATTCGTTGATTTTCAGACGTAATTTTCGGGCATCTCCGCGTACGTTGAACCTTATCCTGAGGTCTGTGGAGGCTATGAGCAGTCGAAATAGCACTGACGGCCTTGTTATCCTGCCAAATAAAGCAGAGAGTATTGTTGTCAACGACCTCTGCCATAGTAGAGTCCCATAGTAGCTCATTTTGTTCAAAATAGCTCTGTAAATGTAGAGGAAATCCATCCGCCTTTTTGCGCGTTGTACCTATGTAATAGATCCCTATAGCCAAAAGGCACTGTGTAACAAGTACATTTAGAAACAGATTATCCAAATAAATACAGAATTTAAGCTGTTTTGGAAGCTGTTTAGCCAGGCGTAAAACAAGCGCAAATGTAGGTGCCAACAGGGTATGCTCAGCGCTTGCGGAGCGCAGGCGTGGCCAGCTCGTTTTTATGCCCTTTTCAAGCGTTTCAACTCCATCTGTTCTAGAGTGAAATAGCCAGCTCCAAATGTATCCATGGTCACCAATACACTATAGCTTGTACCCTGTATCAATAGGCTTGTTTTTAAGCTTGATTGTATGCTTCGAACGGCCCTGAAAAGCGATCATAGCTTCGTCAATAGCGATATAAGAGGAGGGAGAGTAGGAATTTCGACAGGCAGCTCGAATAAGGTCAGCGACGTGTTGAATTCGATAAAACCAGGGTGCATTTGTAGAAGAAGGAGCGCTATTTGTACTAAAAAAGCGATGAATGAGATCAAATCGATTTCGACTCATAAATTGACCTAGATTATGAATTTTCCAGTATTCCCGTCGTACTGCCGTTGGATGCAGGCCAAAGTAGATATTTATGCCTAGATATACACGTATTTCGGCGGGTGTAGTAGGTACCCAGTGACATTTAGTGAGGAAGGGAGGATTTCGAATTTTGGATTCGGCATAGGCATTAGTTTCTTTAGAGAGGATTTCTACCACCAAATCGCTAAAGAAGAGCTTGAAAAAGCCTGATTGAGATAGATTAGTATATTGAGGAGCTCCTGCTCGATTCTCAACGTAATTAGCGTCAAATTGAGGCAGTTCTGTTGAAATGAGTGTGGGCGGTTCATCAGTGCATTCAGACGCAGGTGCAATCACTGCCAAGGCCTGATCGACATTATTTCGGTCGACGCTTTTGGGGTCAATTTGGGGTCGTTTTCGCTGGTTGTTGTTTCTTTCTGTTTTTGGAGGTGAGTTATCTCTATATCTTATAGGGATTTGCGTATTTCGTCGTGGTCGTAGCATGGTTGATGGTTGAAAATTTATTTAATAGACAAGCTGCAGGAATTTATGACGATCAAATGCGGCTCAAAAACCTTATTTTACACCAAGTACGCTAATTGATCCAGCGGGCGCGGAGGGGATAGTACTACTTAGTAGTAGTATCTGAAACATTTGTGCCTAACGCCCAGGCTACTACATCCTTCTCAAACGCCGATACGATTCAGAAGCGAGTTCATACTCACATGTCCTCCAAGCCACCTGCCGACCGTTCATTCGTCCCTCGGCTGCTAACAGAATGTATCCAAGAGCAAGCTTAGCAGGCCTGCCCACCGAAATCCGGCTCAAGATCTTCAGTCTTGTGATCCAGCCCAACGAACTCAACGAAGCTGACCGGGAAAAGAAATGGCTAACCGAGCATCTCGGAGAGCTGGTCGCTATTCACTACTCCGAGCACAGACCGCCTCGGCTTATCAAGTCCTGCAAGGGAGAGCCTGGCTGGCAGCTCTTGCGGGTATCACGAACATGCTATGATGAAGCAGCACCTATGCTATATGAGAAACAAGGTTTCTACCTTTTCAACGACTACGACTGGTCTATGTGGTGGCGTACTCAGCCCTTTGTGGATCTACCTTCCTTCGAGCTCTTTCACACTCAGCATCTCATTCCATATGGATTCGCTTTTATCCGAGAATTGGCATTCCAACCCACACCGGAGATTTCCAAATATTTCGTAAAAGCAATAGAACGGAATTTCCCGTCACTTCACACTCTCAGAGCTTTTCGCCATATCTACATGCATAACTCACGGCTGGTGCGCGAGCTAAGGGAAGTATGGGTAGAGTTTCACAGATTCGTGCTGTTGGCTGCCCTTGTTATCACAAGTAACCACTCGAAACTCAAGTATGCGAAGTGGTCTGACCAACGTATCCATCCGGACGCCGACGCCAAGGACACAATACGGACGATGACGGTAAAATTAAATCCAGACAACATGCTATTATCGGGTGAGGTACGTGACATGCTGCTAACCGAAATACTTCATCTAATGCTGAACTTTGGTGTAGGCAGGATTGTTAGATTTAAAACGCATATCGGAGCAGCCGTTGTCTGATGCCCGTGTTTGGAGTGATGCGGTCAAAGACTCGTCTCTCCGCATTGAAGACTTTTTTGCAGTCGGAGCTGAGATCTAGGGTAGCAAGGGACATAAAGAGGGAAGTTCAAGAAGAAGCGGTATCTCCGCGATCAGCTCACCGTGATCCTAGCATCGACTCACCGCGCAATCAAAAGAAGGGGGTCAAATGCAACAAAACAATCTGTTCAATGCAGAATGTGAAGCAAAATCAGCCACGAACCGATTGGGTGTTCCAGCTTGGATCACTGGGGCAAATCAAAACTGGGCCTCAAACCAACGTCCACAGAGGCGCATTTTTACCCTGCAATGCAGCCGTGTTGGTTCCCTTAGGGTCGTGGAAGGTAATATTGAATAAACTTTGTGCATGTTAGCTTGTTGAAGAAACTTACTTTTGTTGTTTTCCCTCATACTCCTAAGAGGGGCTTGGACATGTATAGCATTCCTGATAAAAATCCATTTGGACTGGAGCACTCGGTTTCCATGTTTTCTTCTGCACTTCGCTCGATGGGTTATAAAAGGCTTGCCTGAAGCAGTTTACGCCTGATATCCATCTGCCAGCCTAGAGTCATCATTAACTGACCTCCCAAGGCCCCCACGAAAGCCTCCATTGTGCTCACACATCATTGCGGGTCTGGAAATATCGAGCGGCTCAATAAAGTAGAGTAACTTCCACCTTAGTAAGCGCTCTACGAGTGACTTATCACCCAAGCCTTGCAAGGAATGTGAGAGGCAGTGGAAACGGGTCCTCTAAAGCACTTAAGGAACCCAACTGACTTGTGCACTACGCCCCCTTGCGCACGACTTTCAAGTCCGATATCTCCATTCACACCAAAAGTTTGAGCCACCAATTGGCATCCCAGTAATCGTCCAACAAAACATTCGTTCACTTTCGTATTCACCATAACAGATCATGCGTCATCAGTTTCATTCGAACTCAGTCCCGTTTCCCCACAACAACCACCCTTATGCCCTTAGTATCCAACCTGGGCATTCCCGAAACGAAATCATGCACGACATCTACGTCTTTGCTTGTCGTTTCATACAGTTCCAGCTCGAAGCGTCGGAACACGGAGGCGAAGGTCATGTAGATCTCCGCATACGCCAAGTTCATGCCCAGACAGTTGCGCGAGCCCCTGCCGAACGGGATGAGATATTTCTCTAGGGATGCGTTAGCGGGCGATTTGGGTTTGGACTCTTGCAGCCAGCGCTCCGGGCGGAAATTTTGTGGCTCGGGAAACACAGCCGGGTCTGTGTGAAGGATAGATGCGGTCATGCTAACAGAGGTTCCTGGCGGGATGGTCCAGTCTTGGAATTGCAACCCCCGGTTTGGTGCAATACGCGGGGCGCGAGTAACAAAGCCGTGGCTGATACGGAGGCCTTCTTTTATGATCGCCGTGAGGTAGGGAAGATGTTCAAGTTCGGGTAGAGGAGTTTTGGTAATATGAGAGCTCTCGGGTACAGCTTCTTGAAGCTCTTTTTGTAGACGCTGGAGGATGTGGGGATTGCTGAGGATGTGGTAGGACGTGGTGCTGAGGACATGGGCTGTCGTAGCGGTTCCTGCTCCGATGAGAGTCATGCCTTCGTCCGTCAGACGTGTTATTGACTTCTCCTCGGCGGGCAGGTCGCTGTTCACTAGTTCGTGAAAGATGGTTGGTGAATCATTTTTTTTCTTGTAGCCTTTTTCCTTGTCTTGTACTTCGATTGCCTGTTGGGGAACACGGTTAGTAGGTACAAGCTGACCATTTGGAGATTTTCAAGCAGCAAGAAAGTGGCATTACCTCTTTCCGATCAAGTAAGAGTGAGACATTCCTATGCCACTACCCAGTGCGGTAAGAGTTTTGCAATCGTCACTATCCAAGGAAAGTGCTTCAACAGATGTGTAAGCTCGCCAGTGGACAAAATGTTTCCATAATTATCTGGGTCCATATCTGGTTTTCCGAGGGTATTGTATGATTCACCATAGCTGTACTTGGAGATAACATCAATCGTTAACGCAGAAAACGCTACACGGAGATCAATCGGGGTTTTTGATTCGTAAAATCCCTCCAGCCTGGTACATAACTTCTCAGCACATGTTTGGATTATACCGATGTATTTTAACACAGAGCCTTGAGAGAAAAATGGATTCAGAGGGGCTCTTCGCATCTTATGAAGCTTGTGAGGAACCGTGCTGATAACGGATGATGAACTATTGATATTAATATTCGAAGGCCAAAGATGAGAGCTCAAGGTTACCTACCTGCCAAAGGCACCTGCAGCGGCAGGATCCTTGTCTGTCGGCTTTTGGGAACCGGGATAGACTTCGTCGTAATAGTCTTTGTCCTTAATGTGTAGCTCATGGGGTGTGATTCTCACGATAGGACCTTTATTTAAGTATCACGTATGAGTGTCGTAGTAAATCATAGATGATGTTTAACACTCACCATATTTCTCATGCATCTTGGCGACCTCAAAGATGAACTGGCCACGTCTAGCGACATTGTGATAGATCTCATACCAGTACGTCAATGCTGCTAGTCTGGGACCTGGAAATTTGGCGATAGGACTGAGATACAAGCGATAAACCCCAACACTGGCATAGTACAAGCAGATGGAGAACAAGATAAGCAGTGTTTTTGGCTGCGACCAGAGCGTGTCAACGAATGTCATCGTGATCAGCTTTCCAGCATGTGTAGAGTCAATCCTCAAGTGTGTAGTCAGGACCCAACATTCCCAGTGATTAGAAAAACAAGATGATAACGGATTAGGCGGTTGCTCAAAATATATAAAGAGCGACCGGGACCGATTTCTCGGCACCGTACCAGGTTACACATACTGTGAAGCAGCATCGGCTCAACGTGTCAGCTTGTGCTTTAAACGATGACTAGTACGTAGAGATCCACATATGCGAAGTTCGGAAGATATCTGGCACCAGGCATAAGTATCGTTAGCACCAGGCTAGACATTTGTATCTGACGACTCTTGACAAGGGTAGACCTTACGTAGTACTACGTACTTCAGAAATATTAATCTGTATTGCTGTTGGGACTTGGGCCAACCATTATCACCAATAAGGGGTAAGCCTTACTGACTTCGGAGAATGCCAGGCAGTTGTATAAAAATCAAACTTCTACTAAATAGTGTATTCTTGCAATTTTTATGCCTCATTCCGTAGTACTGTTATAAACATGGCGAGATTTTTGATCGGTTGTCGTAACTGTGATCGACTTATGAAGCTTCATCATTAGTTGCTAAACGGGTAGCTGTCGATCATTTGATCAGACTCTCGGTGCCGTCAAGAAGATTCCACTATGGAAGCGAGCGTTTCATAATGAATGACATCTTTAATTCACTCCCTTAACAGTCAGCGGCCATCTCTTATGGTATTCAAAACCAGGTTGGGGGAGACTTTTTGGCGGCATGAGTAAGGTAGCACGACCTACTACTACGTGATGCGTAAGTAGTATCTCTTTTGCCACTGAATGGTTTTCCTGCCTTGTGAGAGTAGTGTTAGTCGGACCGTATGAGCACCTATTGGCCGGTTTTTCTACGCGTAATCACTGCTTTTGGATTGGTCAGTCTTAATACGGTGTTACCCATACGAACCAATTCTCACCGTTGTGATATACAGATCGCTGATTCTTGCTTTGCTGGTATCAATACTGTTTTACAGACAACCGTTACCGGCTTATTTCAATTCGACTCAGACCCAAACAATATGAAGGGCTGCTCATGTCCACCCAAAACCCAGGCCGAGCCCTCCCCCTACACTTACCGGCCTCTGCCTCATCGCCACCGGGAAACTTCTTGGTCCAGACCGACCCTTCCCAAGAACTTCCAACGTAAGTGTCTTGGTGTTGCCACCCAAAATCTTACGTGGTTTGCCATCTACTTTCACCTGTACGTTAGGAACCCAGAAATGCGTGACCACAGCCCCTAGTATCATGGCGATGCTAAACACGATCAGGATGATACCGTAGCGTCGTGTTTGGGCATTGCCCGGTGTAGAAGAACCGAACTTGTAGTATGCAGAGAAGAGTTGGACGAGGATAGAGCCAAGCTTTCCGGCGGCTGCACTGATGCCATGACAGGTGCCACGGTAGCGAGTTGGGAAGACTTCGGCGGGAATGATATAGGTTGTTCCATTTGGTCCTGCGATAGCATGTTGGTGTTAGTACGCATGTGGTTTTCTGGCAGAAAGCATGGAAAGAAGGATCCAACACCGATGCAGGTCTAAAACGAAGGGTGACGAAGGCTCAGTGGGTGTAGGACATACCAAAATTAAAAATCAGCTGACCAAGGACGTAGAGGGCAATTGCGACTGGACCTTCCTTATACACGGTGATAAACATAGTCCCAAGCCCAATGAAGAGTGCAGCAAGAGCGAGGAACCCATATTTCTGCAGGCTGACTCTATTCAACCTGTTTGCAAAGAAAATCATCAACAAGCCTCCAACCACGGAGCCAATATTCAGTATAATAAGTGCATGCACAGAAGTGTTAAGGAACATATCGTAGATGTTTGCATCTGGGCTGTTGTCCGTCTTCCATGGAGGAGTCGGACCGCTAATGTTCAGTGAACCCCATGTTTTCGCCAGAAAGTGAGGGTTAGAGAGCCCAATACCGTAGAAGCCAAAATCTAACAATAGCCAGGTCAGGGATGTGCCAGCAAGCGTACGCCAATTTCCTTCGTGCCAGAAGTATTGCACAATGTCAGCTTTCGAGAGAGTCCAATTGGAGTTCAGCGTTGTGGGAGGGTCATCCATGCAACCCCATTCTGTCACAGAGGATGTTGCTATATCCTCGTCATTCGATCGGTTGGCATCGGATGTGGTAGAGATATGGATCGTATCGCGCCGTGTTCCGTCGGCGAGCTCGCTGCTTATTGATGAGTCACCCCAGAGATTGTTCGCATCAAATTCGGCTTTGATTGGGTTGTCTTCGATATCAATGAGGAAACGGGGTGTTTCAGGGATGGCAAGCCGAAAGACAAGCGCGACAACGCCAGGTACAACACCGATGCCAACGACCCATCGCCACATGATGTCAACGGTGCGAACCAGGTCAGCGTCACCTTGTCGCTTGCTTGCAACGACGACAATGAGGGAAACGACGTTGCCCGAAACCTGCCCAAGGGGCTGCATAAAAAAGACCGTAGCGAGCATTTTTGCTCTATGCTTTGCTGGTGCGAATCTAGCTCCTGATAAGCAAGCAATTGGAGACGATGATGCGAGGACCACTTACTCTGAGGTGATCACGGCACTGAGAGGGTAATCGCCTCCTACGCCAATACCGACCAAGGTTCTCCACCAAATCAGCCAAGCGAGTACGCTCATACTACCATGTGTTCCAGTCGAGCACATAACGACACCAAGCGTAGATCCGATGAGGAGCACCAACTCGATACCATACATCTTCTTTCGTCCATTCTTATCGGCCAGGAAACCAAAGGCAAGCTGGCCGAGCAGCGTACCAGTCAGGGTTGCGATGTTGATGTATGTGAGATTCAGCGAAGAGACTTCTTCGGTCCAAAAGGCATATGCGATCATGGGAAGAGCGATATTACTCGCGAATAGCTGGCTGTTGCTTAGTTTCTACAGACAGCTCGAGGGTAGGTCTCGGGAAAGAGCGAAGGATGCTCACGGTGTAGCCATCGAGAAAGAATCCCACACCTGCAACCAATACAACAACCCATTGGAAACCTTGCCGGTCAATCGTTTCGTAGATCTGGCGCCTGCGGATGTTGCGATCCTGGTTGATAAATGCTGATCAGAGACAGAGCTGGCAACGAGTCACCCTCGTGGCGGGAGTAAGAGATATACCTGTTCATGGTCGAAGTCCCGAGCTCGATCGGTCTTATACAATCGACCACCCCATCTACCCATCCTTTGGTTCAATCTGGTATTCAATAATCAACAGTACCGAGCGTCACCTTCGGTTGGATATTCCAGTCATCCATTGACGGCGCGTTGCCTTCTAGCGTTATAAAGGTTAATTCGTGTTGATGTGAAAGACAAATATTTTGATCGAGGTGAGGAGAAGAATTAAAAAGGCAAAAAGTTCGAAGATGTTATTTGACGCTGTGTCTTGATAGTACGCCGCGGGGAGCGTGCCATGTTCTCCTTCCTTTGCTACTGGACGTTGAGACATTCGAAGGGACACCGGGTCCACTTCTTGCTCCACGTGCTCTTGCTTTGAGCAATATGGCGATAACCAATACGAGAAGCCATCACGCCTGGTGTCCACCAAACAGATTGCACCCAAGCGCGCCACACGTGGCCAAGGTGGGGGTGAACTAGTTGTTTCAGACGCTAACGAGGTGATCTTCCAGGGATGGGTGACATATGAACGCTATTACGTACTACTACTTGGTGCCGCCGAAAAGTGCGTCCCTTCCTAATTGGGTCTAGCACCACGCTAGATCCATCTCCGCCAAATTCTGGCGAATCAACAGCCAATTTCAAACAGTTGTATCTCAACAACAACTACTCGAAATACGTTGCCCTTTAGCTATAACAAGCAGCTATAGCTATGCCTCCTCATCATGGCGAAATCCCTTACGAAAAGCGCGTTGCTGTCGTTGCCCTGCGACTTTTAGCAGGCTTGAAATTCGCCGAAATTGCTGAAAAACTCGATCTTGAAGCGAATTCGATTAACAAGCTCTACAATCGTGCCCTAGAGCGTACAGAAAGGGACTCTCAAGACTCGTTTCTCGCTATT